AGAGGAGGAGGAGGAGGAGGCCGAGGAGGAGGAGGAGGAGGAGTTGGAGGGGCAGGAGCAGTAGCAGGAGCAGCAGCAGCAGCAGCAGCAGCAGCAGGGAAGGAATAGGAGTCGGATTGCCCCCGGTGTTCACGGGTAGGAGTTGGAACCATTGCTCACTCCCAGTTTTCCACGGTGACGTCACCGTCGTCCGCACGCACACAATCGCCGTGATCAATCGGTGATCGCCATCTACAGGTGGTCGTATCGAAGCCTGTCCGCACTTGTGAGTTCGAAGCGGGAGTCGGAAGAAGAGAAGTTGCAGGCGGATGATAATGAGGATGCGCATGAGAATCCTGAGGACGAGGATGACGAGGAGGAGGGAGGAAGAGTAAAAGCAGGAGAAATAGTGATGCTGGTAAGAGAGATGATGACGAGGAGGAGGAGGAGGAGGGCGAAGTTGGAGGGTGAACAAATACAGCTGCATTTGATGGCGAGCGAGACTAGTATGAGGGCGAAGATGGAGGAGTAGGGATGAGACGCTAGGTGCCTATACCCACCTTGCCTTGCCCAAGTTGAAACCCAGCATCGGGGCCTTCGCCCCAAGTATTCCAGGCAACTTGAAGCAAGCCTCCCGCATGCCCACATGCCTCACTCTGCTCTGGTGCTGAACAGTTTGTCTGGTTGGTCGCGCAGTTCATGGAACTCGCGGCGTGCCCTCGGCAACATCTCATCATCTCGCTGAGTCTCGTGGTGTCGGATGGAAGGACAGAGCAAGGATGGCAGGGGAGGGCAGGGGAGGGCAGGGGAGGAGCAGGAGGACGAACACCAGCGAAGGGCCTGGCGCGTTCCGCTGGCGTCCCCGGCCGCTCTGCTGCTTCCCCTCCGCTGCTCCCGCAGGAGGTTATCGCCATGCTGGCTGTGAGACTGCTGGTGCCCTGCTTCGTGCTCACTGGCGCGCTCGAGGACCCGAAGGGCCATGCTGTGGAGAAATACAGCGCAACTAGAGAGCGCACCTCCACCCCTACCTGGCCCCCCTTCCCCCTGAGACTGCGCCAGGGAGCTTCGAAACCCGAACGCGAAGATGCTTCGCACAAGCGGCGTAGAGAGCATCTTCCCCCACCGGGCCCTGCCCCCCACCCCGCTCTGGTGAGGGGGGTCCCGCCCAAGATGCGTTTAACACGGGCCCCTCCTGGTCCCTGGCCGCACTGGCCAGATTCCCATCCCGGGTCGATGTGTATGATTCGTGGGCCCCAGAAGAGGCCCATCAAACATCGATAGGAAGGAGATACATCCAGCGCGGGATTTTCGCAGCTCCCCGCTGGGGACCTTGCTTCAGGTCTTGGCTCCCAGATCTGTTGAGCTCCTGGAAAGGAGTTCTTCCGTCTCCTCCTCCTCCTCCTCCTTGTGCCCTGCCTTCGTCTGTGATACTTGAGCTAAATCTCCTGCCCACGCGCCACACGGCGCATGGCTTTCCAGTCCAGCCCAGTCCGCTGGGATCCAAAACCTTTGCATCCTTGTTCCTTCTCGGCGGGGGCCGGGAAAGCCGAGGAAGAAACGAGAGGGGCGCTTGCGAGCAGCGAGCGGGATCTCTTTTTCGTTTTCGCAGTGTTCTGCTTCTGTCGACCCTGGCAGTTTCGGAGACTGTCTCCTCACCTTCCTCGGTCGTTGTCATCCTCACCTTCCTCCGTCCTCTTCATCCTCAGACAATTTTCCTTGTAGGTAGCTCCTCCCTGTCGCGCCCCCAGCGTGCGACGTGCCGATAGGGCGAAGGGGCGTTTCGCCTGAGATCTTCTCACCCTGTATGATCATGAGGCTTGAATCTTGCAACAGTCAGTTACACAAATTGAAGGGGGGGAGTGGCGCTCGCCTTCGAGCCGCGCACATCCGCTGAAACAACATGCATCCGTTCCTCTGGTGGAAGTGATGGCTTTCAACATGGGGCCCTCGCCTCCGCGCCGCGCGCGTTGGTCTGAAAGCTTGCAACGCCAACATGCAGGCTTCTCGGGCCGAACGAACAAGGGGGATACGGAAGGGGGAGGTTGTGGAATCTGTTGCATGCAGCTGGTTTCGGCCCCGCCGCCGGGCCCACTCCTCGATACGAGGGCGCCTCCCGGCGCTGGACTAGACGTAAGAGTGACTTTTCGCCGGAGTGACCTTCGGTGCGGGCACAGATGGGTCCCCAGATGGCTGGAAAAGAAGCAGGAACAGCGGCTTGCGCGCCCAGGTTTGGTCCCCCCGCGGCTCCCCCAAAAGCCGCGCACCAAAGGTCACTCTTGCCCAGGGTCACTCTTGCGTGTAGCCGAGTTCTCTTCCCTACCCTTTGCTTCCCCCCGAGATTCGGGAGAGCGCCAAGGCAGAGTCGCAGCACCGAGAGGGTCCGAGCCGCCGTCGCCGAGCTCGGCCGCCCCCTCCGCGGCCAGCCTCGCCAGGGGCCAGGGAGCCGAGCCGCATCTCCTGGCCAAGCGCAGCCGCGCTAGCTCCTCCTCCTCCTTTTCCTCCTCCTCCTCCTCCTCCTCCTCCTCCTCCTGCTCATCCCTCTCCTCCTCCTCCTCCTCCTCCTCCTCCTCCTCCTCCTCCGCCTCCTCCGCCTCCCCCTCCTCCTCTCCCTCTCCTCCTCCTCCTCCTCCTCCTCCTCCTCCTCCTCCTCCTCCTCCTCCTCCTCCTCCTCCTCTCTTCCTCCTCCCCTCCTCCTCCTCCTCCCTCCTCCCTCCTCCTCCTCCTCCTCCTCCTCCTCCTCCTCCTCCTCCTCCTCCTCTCTCTCTCCTCCCTCCGCCTCCTCCTCCTTCTGCTTGTCCTCCTCCTCCTCCTCCTCCTTCTCCGCCTCCTCCTCCTCCTCCTCCTCTCTCCTCTCCCTCCCTCCTCCTCCTCCTCCTCCTCCTCCTCCTCCTCCTCCTCCTCCTCCTCCATCTCCAATTATTATTATTATTATTATTATTATTATTATTAGCATTATTATTATTATTATTGTTATTATTATTATTATTGTTAATATTATTATTATTATTATTATTATTTTGATATTTTTATTTTTATTATCATTATTTTTTAATATTATTATTATCATTATTATTACTGTTGTTGTTATTATTATCATTATTATTATCCTTATTATTATTATCATTACTATTTTTATTATTATTCTTAGCATTCTTAGTATCCTTCTCATTCTTATTTTGCATTATTAATTGTACTATAGCACCCCGCGATTGCGGATAAGAGTGAGGGGGCGGGCGCGGGCGACGCGGGCGTCGAGCCGGCGGACGTCGTGTCCCTCACTTTCCCTGTTGATGGCGCCTTGCTCCTCCTCCTCCTCCTTCTCCTCCTCATCCTCCTCCTCCTCCTCGTCCGCGTCCTCGTCCTCGTCCTCATTGTCGTCGTCGTCGTCGTCGTCGTCCGTCTCATCCTCCTCCTCCTCCTCTTCCTCCTGTTCCTCCTTTTCCTCCTCCTCCTCCTCCTACTCCTCCTCCTCCTCCTCTTCCTCCTCTTCCTCCTCCGTTTGGAACGAATGCACAGGAAACCCGCCGCAGGCGCCGAAGTTTTGGCTTGTTCAGTAAACGTAGTGTGGGTCGCGGGTGGGTCGCGGGCTCTCCACCGTCACCTAGAAGGAATTCAAAAACAGCCCGCGGCAGGTACCGAAAAGTTTGATTTGTACACTGAACGCGGTTTGGGTCGCGGGTGGGTCGCAGGTTCTCCACCTGAAGCCCGCCGCAGGCGCCGAACATTTTGGGTGGTCGCGGGGTCTCGTATGGGTCGCGGGGGTCGCGTGTGGGTCGCGGGGCGCGGTTTGGGTCGCGGGTGGGTCGCAGGTTCTCCACCTGGAACGAATGCAAAAGAAACCCGCCGCAGGCGCCGAAAATTTTGGGTGGGTCGCGGGGTGGGTCGCGGGTGGGTCGCGGGTGGGTCGCGGGTGGGTCGCGGGTGGGTCGCGGGTGGGTCGCCGGGGTGGGCGCGCGGGCGGGTCGCGGGGTGGGTCGCGGGTGGGTCGCGGGTGGGTCGCGGGGTGGGTCGCGGGTGGGTCGCGGGTGGGGTCGCGGGTGGGTCGCGGGTGGGTCGCGGGTGGGTCGCGGGTGGGTCGCGGGGTGGGTCGCGGGTGGGTCGTCGCGCGCGGGTGGGCGGGGTGGGTCGCGGGTGGTCGTGGGTCGCGGGTGGGTCGCGGGGGGGTTCGCGGTCGCGGGTTCTCGGGGTGGGTCGCGGGGCGCTTCGCGGGTGGGATGACGACAACAACAAACAACAAACAACAAACAACAAGCAACAAACAACAAACACAACGTCAACAACAACAACAACAACAACAACAATCACTTTACCCGAACGCTCAGTGTTCTCACCAGTGCCAGGGTTTTCATGCGACGCCAGCCAATACCCCCACTTTGTGGGGGGGCAGTGCAAGCTCTACCAAATATCCACACGACTCTTCGCCACCACCCACACCCAGCTTCCCGCCCTATGACGTTCGGACACTTCACTTCGTGGCCTGCGGACGACCGTGGCTACTACACTGGCGTGGAGTACACACCCACAGAAGTTGTTAAGCCTACGTTCGTACACCCACAGAAGTTGTTAAGCCTTGTTAACCCACAGAAGTTGTTAAGCCTTCCACAGAACATCTGTTGCATATGATGCATATGGTACATGATACACATGATACACATGATACGTACTCACAAGATAGTTGATCACATCTTTAGGGCAAATTCCTGAGGGATGTGGGAATACACAAGAGAGAGAGGATATGGTTGTCCCGATGGTTGTCTCGATGGTTGTCCCGATGGTTGTCCTGATGGTTGTGGTTGTCCCGATCGTTGTCCCGATGATTGTCCCGATGGTTGTCCTGATGGTTGTGCTTGTCCCGATCGTTGTCCCGATGACTGTCCCGATGATTGTCCCGATGGTTGTCCCGATGGTTGTTCCGATGGTTGTCCCGATGGTTGTCCCGATGGTTGTGAGCGATGCCGGATCCTCACGCCCCCCGCCGGAGGAGGAGGAGGAGGAGGAGCAGGACAAGGAGGAAAGGAGAGAAGAGAGAACGGAAGGAGGGGCGGGAACGGCGCTTGCACGCCCACCCACCGTCTTTTCCCCGCCGCGGCTCTAAAGAGACGAGTTCGTGTGCTCGTCATCTTCTGGCATACGCCCGTCCCTGATGGCACGGATGGGGCGCAATGCTGCCAGCTGGGCTCCTGGCAGAAATACATCAGGGGCCAAGTGTCCAAGCATGGTGCCGATACGCCTCCTCACGGATACATCGCCCGTGCGTGCGAGGGGCGCCAATACCGCCAGGACGCCCTGGACATGCGCCGGCATACGCAGATCCACCTGGTAATCCATGACATTGCCATACTGGGACTGCCCGCAAGAACGCCATACTGGCATGTGCCACCAATGGTCCTGCTTCGGGAAATAGGTGATACCATCGTTGACGTCGTGGGGGGCATTCCACAGAGCCATAGATTGCGGCTCAATACCCATGGGTCCCGTGTGTGTTGCCACAAATACGTCCAGGCTCGCCATGCGCCTGGTTTTTGGAGATTTCGGCGTGCGCGCGCGAAGAAAAAACGAATGTGTCCCGCATGGTATTATTTGACAGGGATGATGGCCCTGGCAGGTGCGCAACCGTTGTCGCAGAAGTTCGAAAAAGTTGCTCGCAAAAGCCCGTTTGACAGAAATGTTTAAAAAGTGTTGGGTTTCCTACGAATCCGCAAGAGCGCGCGGGATGAGATTTTGACAGTTTTTTGTTGAAAAACCATTGGTTTTTTGATGTTTTTATGTTAAAATCGCTGCGAACACTAAGGTTTTGGAAGGATTTCGTCTTGCGCGCGCGAATGTCCACTTTACCTTATTTTTTGCAAGGGATTCTTGAAATTTGATTATATTAGAACAAGAAATGTCATTTTCTATTGTTTTTTGCAAGGGAAAGCGGATTACAACAAAACAACCGGATCCTGTACACACCCTCTTTTCTGAGGCTTCCTCACGAAAGTGATGAAAATGTAGCTGCGGCCTAGGCGGCGCAGGGGGGGCGCGCACCAGGGGGCCCAACAATAATTATTCTTTAGAATAAATAATGTTCAACAACAACACCAACAACAACAACAACACCACCAACAACAACGACGACAACAACAACACCAACAACAACAACACAAATCCGCATCGCGGAATTCCACTTCAGCCACGCACCCAGGGACAGTGAATGACCGTTCGGTTCAGCCCCCTCACTCTGATGTTCTACTTATTATTTTTCTTCTTCTTCCTCCGCCTCCTCCTCCTCCTGTCTGCGCCGACCGACGAGGGCTGTCCTCATCTGCTCGGGCAGGAGGGCCGGGTGGTAGTCAGCTTTTTCACGGGCATGGTCTTGCCCTCTTGCCTCGCGCCTTTTGCTAAGAGGAGTTCGTGGTGTCTTCGTCGAAGGCTCAGAACACCTCTCAGAAGGCCAAGGGGGCGTCCGAGCCTTCTGAGAAGGCCCGCCCCTGCTCATTGCCCCCTAGGGCTCGCCGTCAGATCTGACCGCCTGCTCTGGGCGGTCCCGCGCGTGCGCCGCCCTCCCAGGAGAGCAACTTGCTGCGCCTCTGGGCGGAGCTGCTCGTGGGCGGCCGCAGGCCAGCCGGCCGCCCCCCCTTCGTGCGCTCGGCGCTGCGCTGGGCGTTGCCGGCTGCAACACGCTGGTTAGATGCTCGTTGGGGGGACCTTCCTGGAGCCCACCCAACGGATCTGTTCGATTCTAATTCGGCCCCAGTTTGACTCAAGTTCGACTCAGGTTCTATCCAGGGTCGACCCAAATCGACGGACGTTCGACGCGGCTTCGACGCAAGAGTGGAGCCAGTGTCTCCAGGAAGGCCCCCAGAATGAGCATGCAACGCTGGAGTGGCCCTTCGCCGTGCCCTGAGCTCCGACGTTGCGAAACCACTGCAACACTCGGAGGAGGAAGAGGTTATACCGTTAACTGCCCTCCCCTCGTCTTCCCCTTGCTGGGCCTCCTGGGAGGCCCTCGTCGCCGCCGCTGCACTCACCTCGAGGTCCTGACGCTGCAAAACGAGTGCCACGGCCTGCAGACCCGGGCGCTGCAATTTTTCGCAGCCGTCGTTTTCGCCCTGGGTCGGGCCCCGGGGCCCCGGGCCCTCACAGATCGATCCGGCTCGAAGAGCGGACGTGTTCCGGACGTGCCCGTTCAACAGTGTCGCATCTGCTCCTAATTTGAGCCCACGCAGCTTGCGCTAGTAGAACTTGAGTCCACCCCCTTAGACCACTCGGGCAAACTGTCCTTAAAGCAAACATGTTGTTGCAGTTGCTCCTAACCCTCCTGCGTTGGGTTTTCGTTCTGAGCAGAGCACTGCGGGCGTCATTCCTTCCTGCCCGAATCCCTCCTCCTCTCTTCCCTCCTCCTTTCCTCTCCTGCCTCTTGCCTCCTGCCTCGCCGACCTACCTGGGAGCTTGACTGCTCTCAAAAACAGAGCCAGATTTGACCGGGAGTCCACGGCTTTGAGTCCGCCGCGGGAATGTGTCCAGGATTGGCCTTTCAGCTTCGGGAGCAACCTACTTGGGGCCCGCTGGGGGCTGCGAACTGCGAAATTGTCGCCACTGTTGTGGGCTCCTGGGGAGTTCAGCGGAGTGACGTCCTAGTCAGATCAGATGAGACCTCGCCGCTACTGGGGGCTGCCAGCTGCGAACTTGTCGCCACGTTCATGGGCTCCTGGATGCGAGCTGCAAAAGAGTCGCCAGTTTCGTGGGCGCCTGGGAGGTGGTCCAGCGGAGTGACGTCCTAGTCAGATCAGATGAGACCTCGCCGTCGCTGCGGGCTTCGAACTGCGAAAGCGTCGCCATTTTCGTGGGCTCCTGGGGAGTTCAGCGGAGTGGCGTCCTAGTCAGATCAGATGAGACCTCGCCGCTACTGGGGGCTGCGAACTGCGAAGTTGTCGCCACGTTCGTGGGTGCTTGGGAGGTTCAGCTGAGTGACGTCCTATCAGATCAATGAGACCTCGCCGTCGCTGGGGGCGGCGAACTGCGAATCAGTCGCCACTGTCGTGGGCTCCTTTGAGGTCAGCTAAGTGATGCTCTTTCGGATCAGATGAGACCTCGCCGTCGCTGGGGGCAGCGAACTGCGCAACAGTCGCCACGTTCATGGGCTCCTTGGAGCCCAGCGGAGTGGCATCCTATTCAGATCGGATGTGCTCTCGCCGTCGCTGGGGGCTGCGAACTGCGAAAGTGTCGCCACTGTCGTGGGTTCCTGGGAGGTCCTGCGGGGCGACATCTCGTCAGATCAGGTGAGACCTTGCCTTCGCCGGGGGGCTGCGAGCTGCGAAGCTGGCGCCACGTTCGAGGGCTCTTGGGAGGTCCAGCTGGGTGACGTCCTAGTCAGCTCAGATTGGACCTCGCCGTCGCTGGGGGCTGCGAGCTGCGAAGGTGTCGCCACTTTCGTGGGCTCCTGGGGAGTTCAGCGGAGTGACGTCCTAGTCAGAACAGATGTGATCTCGCCGTCGTTGGGGGCGGCAAACCGCGAAACTGTCGCCACTGTCGTGGGCGCCTGGGAGGTCCAGCGGAGTGATATCCTAGTCAAATCAGATGTGACCGCGTGGTCGCTGGGGGCTGCGAACTACGAAGCTGCCGCCACTCGTGAGCTCCGCGGAGGCCCTGCGGGGTGACGTCCTTTTCATATCGGATGAGACCTCGCCGTCGCTTTGGTGCGCCACAGCGACATGGCGCTGTCCGCGCTGCTTGTCCAGCGTGCCAGTGGAGCAGAATCGCAACCCTCCTTCCTCATCCTGCCTCTTTCGTTATCGTCCTCTTCCTCCTTCCGCAGTCTCCTATTCCGCCCTTCTTCTGCCCACCGCTCTGACCCCCATTTCGTCTACGAGCCAGGGGCCCCAGGCTTCGTCCTTCTACTGCTGTCTTCTGAGTCACGCAACGCGCGCGCATCCCATGTAGTTTCCACAAATGACGGTTCCTGTGCTGTCATCAGCGATGCGAATCGAGGCCAATTGCTCCTGTCACTCAATGCGGCTGGGTTGGGTACGTCACAGGGTAATTCTCGAGACGTCGGACCCCAGGGATCGCGAAAAATCGCGACCGGAGCCCTAGACCGCATCTTCTTGCGGCATGTTTCAGGTCGCATCGATATGTGATGGCCCCGGCGAAAAGACCTGGCGCGAAGAGGGGGGAAGGAGCAGGGTGCCTCTGAGAGCCTTCCCCCCGCCCCCTCCCCCCTCCAGCGCGCCGCCAGATCCAGCAGCGGATTGGCGTCCCAGGGCGCTCGGTCCCTGCTCAACACGAGGGACCCCCCGTCATTCAGAAGACGATCCTGGGAGTATCTTACTGTCAGTTGGCATGGCTTTCCTGCGCCTCCAGTGGTCCACAGTCGCATGCTCGCGCCACTGGAGGCCACTGGGGGTTGCGGGAGGCCACTGGAGGCCACTGGAGGCCGCGGGGGGGGGGGGGACCACTGGAGGAGGCACTGGAGGCGGCCCTAGGCTTGCGGGGGGCCGCTGAGGTCCACTGGTGCCCATTGGAGGAGCCGCTGCGGCCATTCGGGTGATCGTGGAAAGGCTCCCAGGAGCGTCTGCGAAATCCTCGGCACGAGCCGGCGCGCCTGGCCCCCTCCGCGGCTCCCTGGAGCCGCGCGCCCTTAGGCCACTCCTGGCGTTCCTGGCGGGCGCTGGCTCCCGGCCCACGGCTCCACGCACGAGCCCGCCTGGCGGGCACTGGCCTTGGCTGCTGTCCACGTCGGCTGCGCCCGCAGAGATCCCACGCGTCGAACAAATCGAGGCGCAGGTTTCTCGCAACGTTCGGCCTCTGGGGGCCCTCGCCGGCGGCGCTGGGACCGTCAAAAGACGGCGCGGGGCGGAAGACCGGTCCCGGGGAAAGGGTCGAGGCTTCCAGGGGCCCCGTATGAAACCATGGCGTCGGATCTCAGTGTCCTGGACTTTCTGGGAGGGGCGCAGTGGATATGGTTAAGTCGGGCCTGTCCCTCTACAGGAGGAATAGTCAAAGATAGTCAAACCATAGTCCGGGTACGATTTTGTTTCAAATGGTTATTTGACCCTTTCTGGGGTATTCTTCACTATTCTTGATTTGTCGTCCAAAATCCCCCTGTGGGAGGACAGGCCTGGCTTGAGGGCATGGATGGAAATTCCAGCCTCTGGGGGCCAGACTTCTCCAGGCCAGCTGCGCCTCGGGTGTCTGGGAAGGGAGTCCGAGCTTCAATGGTGCAGTGGGCATGGATCGACACCCTGCCAGGATCGCTGGGTTCAGGCGAAGGGGAAAAAACCTTACAAAAATAAACTTTTGGCTCTTCGCGCGGATTTCTTGGATCGGCGCTGGGGCCCCCTTGGCGTCGCCTCTGGCGCTGCGCCTGGCACGCTCCGCGCTACATCTTGCCAGGATCGTGGGGTTCGGGTTACGTCCGCGCTTCAGACTCCGCCCCCTGGCTGTTTCAGAATCTCCACTCTTGGGGTCGTCATCCGCCGCCTCCGAAACCGAAATTTGACAGGGCAGGATCCTTGCTCAACCCTCCCTTCTGTTTTTGGCTGTTCGGGCCTCTCGGGAGGTCATATAGACACCTCGGGCAGTCTCGGCGCTCGCTCGGGGCCTCTTGGAGGCATGCCAGAGGCGCGCTCTCGGAGGCAGTCCTGGACCATCTGGGGCACTCTTGGGGCCCTCTTCGGCGACCTTCTCGGACGCTCAATGGGGTCGCGCCCCCCCGTCCAAAGCCCCCGGGAGGGGGGGCGTCGAGGACGGGTTCGCAAAGGGGAGACGGGCTGGCTCCTCCGAGCCGGGGTTTTCGGGCCACGAGCGGGCGGGGACGGCGACGGAGGAGAACGGGGGTGAGGCGGGCGAGGAAGCGGAGGAGGAAAGGACGAGGAGGACGAGGGAGGGGAGGAGGACGAGGAGGAGGACGAGGAGGACGAGGAGGACGAGGAGCAAAGGAAGAGGCAGGGAGCCTTGAGGACGGGTTCCAAGGGGGAGACGGGCTTGCTCCGTCGAGCCGGGCCTTCGGGCCACGAGCGGGCGAGGAGGACGACGGAGGAGGACGGGGTGAGGTACGCGAGGAGGCGGCGGAGGAAAGGAAGGAGGAAGCAGGGAGGAGGACGAGGAGGAGGACGAGGACGAAGAGGAGGAGGAGGAGGAGGAGGAGGAGGAGGAGGAGGAGGAGGAGGAGGAGTAGGAGGAGGAGGAGGAGCACGAAGGCGAGGAGCAGGGGAGGAGCGAAGAGGAGGAATGGGAAGCACGATGCTGGCGACATGGGGGCATCTCGAGGTCGTGGAAAGCTTTGGTGACGAAGAGGCGAGAAGGCCAAACATCAGTGCGAAGCCTTCCTTTTTTGTTTGGGACGGTTGTGGCCTCTTAGGTGTATGTGGGAGCTTCTCGTTCGTTTCCGTTCAGTAAGTTTTGTTCGCCTGGCTGATGCCAGGGAGCATTGTGACGGTAAGAACGAATGCCGCCCGATGGGCCCGCGCGTCGAGACATTGGCAACATGTTGAGGTGGTTCGGTCCTTCCCGCTTGAGACATCCTCACAGATCAGCTTTCCGAGCTCGCAAACCTGTGCTCCCAGACGCTACGCGAGAGGTGGTCTGGCCCCATATCGCCTGAAGCATCCTCAAAACTGTTGGGCTTGGGGATACCGTAATCTGACGTTGCTTCGTCCTTTTCGCTTGAGGCATCATCGCTGCGCTAGGCTTTAAGGTGCCGCCCGCGAAGTGTTCCTGCCTGTGTCGCCTGGGACGTCCCCGCAATTATGGTCAAAGAGATGCCGCGTGCGAGGGGGTCCAGCCAGTTTCACATGAGACGCCCCCGCAGTTCCGAGCAACCGTTGAGGAGTGCGAAGCGAAGGTGGAGGGGGAGGAGGAGTAGCAGGATGATTGAGAACGAGGGTGAAGAACGATAATGCTGGTATTGCTGTCAGACAAGTTCTAGTTGTCAATGCTCTCGGGACACTTCTCGTCGCCAGGGCTGGACGAGGCTCGATCGTGCCTGGTGATGCGGGCTGGTGCTCTGCCGACGAAGGTTGCGTCCGGGCCCGTTCGCGCCCAGATTGTGAGGATGTCTCGAACGGTCCGTTAGTTTTTTACGGGGTGGAGGTGTGTTTCAGAACCGTATGGTCCTCGCTGACCAATTCGGTTGGCTTTTAGGGCTGTTTGGGTCCCATCCAGGGCTTGCCTTGGCTGGCGAGGGGACAGTGCACCTGAGCCCCCGTGCCCGGGTCGCCCGAGACATATTCGGGCGACCCCGGCAACCCCAACGGCGGTGCCAGGGAGGTGCCGGGGAGGGGTTGCCCTCAAAAGAGTTGGGTGCGCCCCATGGCCTATACAGATAGCCATCCTCGCAACATCGGGCTCCAAGATGCCCTGACTAGATGTCCTCTGGCTCGTCTCTCTTGAGACATCCTCACAAGTCTGGATTCCAAGATGTGGTTCGCGAGGTACTCAGGTCTGTCTTGCCTGAGACATCCTCGGAACCACAGGCTTCGAGATGCTCTGAATTGAGGTGCTCTGGCCCGTTTCGCTTGAGACGTCCTCACCACTGGGGTCCAAGATGTGGTTCGCGAAGTACTCAGGCACTTTTCGCTGGAGACATCCTCTGTATCCCTGGCTCTGACCGTTTGGCCCGAGACGTCCTCGCAACTCTGGTATGAAGATGCGGTTCACGAGGTGCTTAGGCCCGTTTCGCTTGAGACATCATCGCAACCCTGGCTTCTGGGATTGCCTGGCTTGAGATGCTCAGTCCCGTTTCACCTGTGACATCCTCATTGCGTTGTTCGCCTGAGACATCCTCAGCACCCCAGGCTTCGAGATGCCTTGAATTGAGGTGCTCTGGCCCGTTTCGCCTGAGACATCCTCACAACTCTGGGTTCCAAGACGTGGTTCTCGAGGTATTCAGGCACGTTTTCGCCTGAGACATCCTCGGAATCCGTGGCTCTGACCGTTCGTCTTGAGTATGCGGTTTACGAGCTGCTCAGGCACGTTTCGCCGGAGACATCCTCGGAACCTCGGGCTCCGAGGTGCCCTGACTTGAGGTTCTCTAGCCCGCTTGGCTTGAGACATCCTAGCAACTCACACCTGTTGGTTTGCGGCTCGCGAGTTGCTCTGGCCTGTTTCACCTGAGACATCCTCACAACTCTGGGTTCCATCGCGAGGTATACAGGCCCGTTTTGCCTGAGACATCCTCCGAACCCTAGGCTACTGCGAGATGCTCTTAATCCTTAATTGAGGTGCTCTGGCCCGTTTCGCTTGAGACGTCCGCACAATTGGGTTCCAAGATGTGGTCCGAGAGGTGCCATTGACGGAGTGGTTGCTTGGGTTGCCCCTGGTGCCGGGGGAAGTTGGGGACCAATAGAAAGTGACAGAACAAACGAGAAGTCGCCATATCGAAGACGCCTACGGCGAATTACCACCACCCCATGCCTTTTAGGATGCGCCTATGTGGCCGAACGTTTCGGCAACATGTAGCCATTGGACCATGCGTTCCCCCAGCCGTTGTGGAAGCCATTCGGGGAACACGCGGGGGAGGAAGAGGAGGATGAGGAGAGGGGGGGACAATGATGCTGATGAGAAGGATGAGGAGACCTCTTGGGAGCTTCTTGGGTTATTCTTGGGGCCTCCTGGGAGCTTCGTGGGGCCTCTTGGAGGCCTCTTTGGGGCCTCGTTGGGCCTTTGGGGGGCCTCTGGGGGCTTCTTGGAAGCCTCTTTGCCTGTGTTACGGCGTTCCTGGCCCGTCTGACGCCATCGGAAGCCGTCTTGGGAGCCTCGCTGGGTCGTTTTTGGGCCCCCTTGGGGCGCTTCAGGGCCGTCTTCCCGGTGTCCTCTTGGTCCGTCTTGAGGCCCCTTTGACGGGCGTTTTGGGGGCCGAATGGGCCGTCTTGGGGGGCTTGGGCCGTCGTGTGGGGACCTCCAGTGGCCCTCTTGGGGCTCTCGTGTGATGTTAGTTGGGACCATCTGGGGCCTCTCTTGGGCTGTCTGGGGGCTCTGTTTGGCTGTATTGGAGCCCACTGGGGCCGTCGTGGGGCCCTCTTGGGGTACTCTTGGGCCGCCTTGGGACGGTCTTGGGGGCCTCGTGGGCCGTGTTAGGCGGTGTAAGCACGAGAAAAAGCGAGGGTGCCAAACATGTGTGTTGTTCCAAACGAATGGGACGATGTGTGCCTCTTGCGGGTCCTCTTGAGGGCATCTTGGAGCTTCTGGAGGGCCGCTTTCGCCGTCTTGAGACCATCTTGGACAGTCTTTGAGCGCTCTTGAGCCGTCTTGGGGTCATCCTGGACTTCCCTGGGCCATCTTGGAGGTGTCTTCAGCCGTCTCGGGGGCGTCTTGCCGTCTTGGGTGCTTTGGGAGTTGACTTGGGCCGTTTGGGGCTGAGCATGGCCGAAATCTGGGGCTATCAGACCTGCTTGGCACGGGGACGGAAAGCGCACTTACTTTCAGAGCGCACGAGATCGCTGGCTCGTCCGCTCTTACACCTCTTATTGACTCCCTTCCCCTCGCTCTTGTCCTATCTCAGCCTCGGGGAGTCGCGGAGCGTTCTTTGAGCGCGTTTCTTGTTTTGGAGGGGGCGGTCGGGTCGCGTTGCGTTTTCCGCGTTTGGGCTGCCAGCTTTCCAGAACCCCGCGTTTTCCTTGCGTGGACCGCTCGTTGTCCACGCGTTGCCGCCCGTCCCTGTGCCCTGGCGTCAAGAACTTATTACGCCGCAGCTCTCTGTTGGGAGCTTTGGTCTTATCAGCTCGATTACGTCACCGCTCGCTCTTGGGAGCCGCGGTGCTCAGAGCCTTTGGGAGTATGTTGGGCCTCTTGGGGGGCTCTTGGGGAGCCTCTTGGGTGCCTCTTTGGGACCTTTTGTGGCTTTTCGGGGGCCTCCTGGGGCCTCCTGGGAGCTTCTGGGCTGCGGGGGTACTGAAGGGACTAGGCTGCCTTTGGCCGTCTTTGGGCTCTCTTGGGGCCTTCTTGGGGCCGTCCTGGCGCCGTCTTGGGCCGTCTTGGCGCCTCTTGGGCCGTCTTGGCGCCCTCTTGGGCCGTTTTGGGGCCTTCTTGGGGGCTTCTTGGGCCTTCTTGGGGCGCTCTTGGGGGCCTCTTGGACAGTCTTGGACGCCTCTTGGCCCGTCTTGGCGCCCTCTTGGGCTATTTTGGGGGCCTCTTGGGAACATCTTGGGCCGTCTTGGGGCGGTCTTGGGGGCCTCTTGGACCGTCTTCAACGCCATGAAAGGCGAAAAGCCGTATATGCTAAAAATGCACGTTTTCCTTAAGAAAATCAATGATTTTGGCCTCTTGGGGCCCTCTTGGGACGCCTCGTGGGCGCCTCCTGGGGCGTCGTGGAGGCCTCTTGGGACGTCTTGGGGCCGCCTTGGGCGGTCTTGGGCTCTCTTGGAGCGCTCTTGGGCCGTCTTGGGCGCTTCTTGGGCCGTCTTGGGCAGTCTGGGGCGCCGTCTTGGCCGCTTCTTGGGCTGTCTTAGGCGCTTAAGACGGCCCAAGAAGCGCCCAAGAAGCGTTTTCCGATGATGTCTCGAGCGAAACGCTGTTTTTAAGCCCCGAAGGCCGTCCTACTCGATAAAAAACGAGGCGGGAGGGCAATTAGAGCGAAACGCTGTTTTAAGCCCCGAAGGCAGTCCTACTCGATACAAAAACGAGGCGGGAGGGCAATTAGATCCAGGTCTGGCGATGCAACCCCCCTCGAACTCCCCCAAGTCCAATTTTTTCCGACTAACGGACCGCACGCTAACGCGCGGTTTCCGTCAAATTGAGACCATCTTGGACAGTCTCTGAGCGCTCTTGAGCCGTCTTGGGGTCATCCTGGACTTCCTTGGGCCATCTTGGAGGTGTCTTCAGCCGTCTCGGGGGCGTCTTGCCGTCTTGGGTGTTTTGGGAGTTGATTTGGGCCGTTTGGGGCTGAGCATGGCCGAAAACTGGGGCTATTAGAATTGGGACGGTACTTGCCAATTCCTTACACTCCCCCTTGGTATTTCTCCCAACTAACGGATCGCGACGCTACACGCGCTCTTCGTCATCCGCCGACCTCTGTTGATTCATCACAGGGGTGCCTGGCGCGTTAGACTTCTGGTGATTGTTGGTTCTTTTTGGAACTCCCCCGTGGCTTCGACCCAGCCCGCGGGCCACCCGAACGGCCGCCGAACGTCTACCTCTTGTGCCCCAAATCGCTTCCAAGACGGCCAAGATGGCTCAAGATGGCCTCCAATGTGCCTTCAAGACGTTTCTAAGATTGTCCAGATGGCTCCAATAGAGACCAAGATGGCTCCTAGAGCTCCCAAGATGCACCCCAGACGGCCCAAGATGGCTTCAAGATGGCCCCAGACGGTCCCAAAAGCACCTCAAGCGGCCTCCAAAACGGCTCAAGACCTCCAAAGGGGTCCTCCAGGAAGATCCGCAGCAATTTGGGGTCAAGTCGGGGTCTTGTGCGACGGCGCAGAGCGCCCTGTCCTCCCACCCCCCCCCGCGTCCCTCCCTCCCCCCTCCCCCTCCTCCTCCTCCTCCCCCTCCTCCTCTCCTCCTCCCCCTCCTCCTCCCCTCCTCCTCCTCCTCCTCCTCCTCCTCCTCCTCCTCCTCCTCCTCCTCCTCCTCCTCCTCCTCCTCCCACCCCCTGGGCGAGACCCCCTCCTCCCGATGACGGGCGATGCGCCCTCGCCGGCACCCTCCGCCGCCGACGGCGCGGCGGTGCCCGGCTCCCCCCGCGACGTGTTCTGCCCGGGCGCCGGCCCCTGCCTGTACGATACGAGAGCGTTCTGCGGGGGCCTGCTGCCAGGCGGGGAAGAGGGGCGCCTGGCGGCGCTGAACTCGCTGGAGATGCTAGACACCCCGCGCGAGGGCTTCTTCGACAGCATCACCGGGCTGCTGAAGCGCACCTTCGACACCGCGGGCTCGCACCTGGTGCTGATCGATCCGACCAGGTGCTGGTTCAAGAGCTGGCAGGGCATCTGGTGGGACTACGCTTCCGATTCCGACCACGGTCCCAACGTTGAGGCTAAGAGAGAAGATGGTTGGTGCAACTACATTTTTGTGTCTACCACTGCCGAGTTGCTAGTAATCGAGGATGCGACCAAGGATGCTCGTGTCTCGACGAACCCCTTCGTGGTGGGGCCACCTTATTTTAGATTTTACGCTGGCGCGCCGCTTGTGGGTTCCAGCGGAGAGCGCTACGGTACCTTATGCGTGGTTGACCTGATTCCACGCTGCTATTCGGCTGATGAGTATGCACTTCTTATCAACTTCGCAGCGATTGCAGTAGAGGAGATCGAGCGCAACAAGCCTCTGCAACGCTGCATAGCCAGCAGCCAGTTCAACAGCGTGGTGGCGAATCGGCACCTGGACATGTCTGTGCAGGCCTCGAAGGATGGGATGCTCATGATCGACGCGCGCGTCTCGAGTTGGCCGGTGTCCTTCGGCAACGCCGCATTCGCGGCAGCCTCGGGCCTCGAGGAGGATGCCATCGTGGGGCGTAATTTCTGGGACCTCTTCTTGCTCTGCGGCAAGTCGCGGGCCGAGGTGGGCTTGCCCGTTGGCCTCGGCGACGCCTTCGAGATGCATGTGCTGTGCAGGTCGACCTGGGCAGAGCTCTCCCTGCGGCTGCTTCCGGCCGGCAGCGGTCGCTTCGCCCCCAGCAAGGCCACCGGGATCCCCGCCTGGGCGCCCTACGCGGGCTCGACGGCCGGGGCCCTGATCGACCCGTCCCCAGGCGGCAGCGAGGGGGACATCGACAGGCGCGACATGGTCGACCAGGTTCAGGTGGAGGAAAAACACACAGACACAATTCATCGTCGATTCCCCAGAAAAGATGGGAAAATGTGGGCAGTGGGGGGGAAGACAGAAATCCAGAAAATATGAGAAAGATGGGGAATCCTTTTATATTTGTGTGTATTTATTTGTGTGTCCCAGGGCCCCTTCACAGGCCAAGTGCTTCTGGTTCGTGATTGTCTCTTCCAGCGCCCACGGCGACAAGGCAGACGCGCAGTACGCCTCGCAGTCCACCCGCGACACCGAGTACGACTCGCCGCCGACGTCAGCTGCGTCCTCCGTTTCGTGGCCGACCGCCATGGTGGGCGATCGCCCCGCACACTGCGAGTACTCCATCCCGCGGGAGCTGGAAATCGACGTGGTCGGCCCCATGTTGGGCTCGGGCAGCTTCGGGAGGGTGTACCGCGCCCTCACCCGCTCTGGCGGCACCGCCGCGCTCAAGGTGGTGGACTGCCGTCGGCGGAGGGATGACGCGCTCCAGGCGCAGCTGAGAGAGGTCCAGCTGAGCTGCAGGCTGGATCACCCGAATGTCGTCAAGATTCTTTCGTACGCCACGTCCACAGATAGCACTGGCGGAGACTCCTTGGACATCTTGTGGTGCGCCCAGGAGCTTTGCGAACTGGGCACGCTAACACTAGCGTCGGAGAGAGGCTGGCTGCGTCAGCACCGCAACATGACATCGGCTCCAGACATGAGCGTGGTGTGGAGTATCCTGCTGGACGTGTCCAACGCCATGGCATATGTACACAGCTGCTCAGTCGTGCATGCTGATCTGACTGGGCGCAATGTGTTGCTTACGAATGCCAAGGACAGACAGTTTGGGTTTGTGGCGAAGGTGGGCGATTTCGGGCTGGCTCAGTACATCTACGGGCACAACTTCGTGACGAAGGTCTTGGGCACGATTACGCACATGCCCCCAGAGTTACTTACACTGGACAAACCGTTCCTCACATACGCGTCGGATGTGTGGGCTTTCGGAGTGCTTGCCTGGGAGGCATACCACGGTAAGTGCGCATTCAAAGGCAAGAACGCAGCTCAGGTTGTTGTGGCTGTGGTTCTCAAGCGTTCGCTGCAGTGGCCTGATGCCGCCCCGGAGTCTTTTGTGACTCTGATGGGTGACTGTCTCCAGTACGATCACGCAGAGCGTCCTCGCTTCCATGCGATTGCAGAGCGCATAGCGACCATGAGTGATTAGACGAGCGAACGGACGCACAAAGTGCCATACGCCGGAGCGCGTGGCAAAAGACACTGCCAGCCGAATCTCGCCGCTTCGCGAGAGCGGCTGCAAGCCCTCTGTCTCTGACTTTACAACGCGCGCGATTGGAAGGGTAAGGAGGGAGCGGAGGAAAAGGAGGGCAGGGGAGGGGGACGAGACAGGAGGGCGGCACAGAATACATGAATTCTTGGCTCGAAGGGGCGGGGGCGCACGGGCAGGCAGTCAGAAAACCTTCTCTGGGTCTGGCCCCAGACTCTTCACAAGACGCTGCACGAAGGCTTCCTGTGCGTGGGGGTTCGCACGTGCTCCATGACGTCTTCGTCGGAGGCGAAGACGCGTGACGGGCAGCTGTGCAGGCACGTTGCTCATGCGTGCTCAGGTCGGCCCCGCCTCCGCCCGATCGGCGCCGTGGCCGAGCGGATCGCACCCTCTCGAGACGTCGGCTGCCTCGGGAGGGGCTCGGCCGGAAGCTCCTTGCCAGTCTTGCCCGAGCCGCGCCAGCCGAGGCCTCGATGGCTGCACCGCGCACGGTGGCTGGCCTGCACTTTGAAGAACCTCGTTGTTCGATATACGTGCGTTATTAAAGCCGGAGGGATGTGCAAAGTATTCCGTGAGTATTTGGCGTGAAAGCCGTCGAGTCTCCTGCGCTCTGCTTTGTTCAGCCACGCCGCGTTCAGAGGATACATGAGTTTGGATGTCACCAGTGTTTGAAGTGATTCCAATTGCCGGCTCTTGTTGATAGCGGTATGGTTTCAAGCTCTCTCGTATTTACAGAATACGCCCTACGCGGGGGTCGATTCGTCTCTTCAGTTCGGTACTCAATTGCCCCGTGTTGTACAGCGTGGCCCCCAGATAAGTCAAACAGGGCTTCCCTGCTACGCGTTGACCTGCCGGTGTACGCAATTGCACGTCGCTTCGTATCTTCATCATGTGGATTTTGCCCCAGTGCAACTCCATCCCTACCTGGGCCCCTGCTACAACAATGTCGTCCAGCAGTTGGTGAAGGCTACCTTGATCCCTCCCACTGAGCAGCGTGTCGTCGGCGTACAGTAGGACTGACATATTCCCCGATGACATGATAGTTTGCACTTTGTCTCCCAGATTGCCCGCGGCACTTCGCATCACAGTTGTCATCAGCACAATATGATCCAAGTGTGTTGCCAGAGTCACGAGCACCCAGAAGTTCTACACTTCCCGGTGGTAGTAGGAGGGAAGTGTAGAGTAAGCGGAAGTGATTAGGCACTCGCTGGGAGTCGCCCTCAGAGACCCGATATTGTGTGCATCACCAAGTTTCGTATGTCTTCGTTTCACCCAGCTTAGTGTATCACCCAGCTCACCCGCAGACACGTATTTTCAGTCTAGTGTAGTTTCAGCCAGTTTGGGGGATCCTGTGTTCCAATAGGAGGGGGCAGGGCAGAGTGGTGCGTTCGCGCGCTGTGTCTACGGAGGCGAAGCAGGCCCTGTGCAGGAGCCTACTAGGGAAAGAGTTTTCGCTGCCGATTCCTGTCTGCCGCTCTCTCTCCCTCCTGCAGGGGCATCAGTAATCGTGCTCGAGGGATGGATCAAGCTCGTCGTTGTGGGCTGCAGCCCTGTGGGCTGGCTTCCCTGTTTTTAAAACAACGGCCACTGTTACAAACAAATATCACAGAACGTGAACGTATAGGACTTTACCCTTCGAATCTAAACAATTGCACATACAATATCATTTCAGCGCAGCATGAGCATTACAACATGAAAAAAAACACGCCATTGAAAACACCTTCTTGCACCGAGGCCCTGCCAGCCTCCTGTTGTTATTTCAGGGAATCATTCGGGTTGGATATACAATGTTTTTTGGTATCGGCATCAGCGTGGCATGCAAGACGCACCTCATGCCTGGCCGGCAGGTCGACGAAGCAGCTCGCGGAGGCTGTTTCGCTTAGCGATCGTTCTTCAGCTGGATCGCTTCGCTCAATCCGCCGGCCCATATTGCCTCGCCGCTGCCGTTTGTCGGGATGTTGTTGTCAATGCGGTGCGGTTGGGCGGCTGCCATTTCTCGAAGGCGGTGGGTGGCGGGTCAGAGGCCTCACGGATGTTGGTTGGGCTCTCGTGGTTGGCGTTTCAGGGGCCTTTGGGATGCAGTTTTGAGGCCTCTTGGGGGCCGTGTTGGGCCTCTTGGGGGCCTCTTGGGGTGCCTCTTGGAGGCCCGTTGGGGCCTCTTGGAGGCCTCTTGGGGCCGCCTGGGGGCCTCTTGGGGCTGAAGGCTGGACTTTTCGGTTCCTAGTCCCCTTCTTGGGCCCCTCGTGAGGCCGTTTTGGGGCTCTTGGGCTGTCTTGGGCGCCTCTTGGGCTGTCTTGGGGCATCTTGGGCCGTCTTGGGGCCCTCTCGGAGGCTTCGTGGGCCGTCTTGGGGCGGTCTTGGAAGCCTCTTGGGCCGTCTTGGAGAGCCGGTAAGCCGAAAAGGCGAGAATGCCCAAAAACTGACAGAAACTGAAGGATAATCGCTAATTTATGCCTCTGTGGGCCCTCTTGGGAGGTTTCTTGGAGGCCTCTTGGTGCGTCTTGAAGGCGCTTTGGGCTTTCTGGAGGCAGTCTTCGGCGTCTTGGATCGCTCTTGGACCGTCTCGGACCATGTTGAGCTGGCTTGGAGGCCACTTGAAGCGCTCATGGAGCGCTCATGGGAGCATGCTGGGACCTGACCGGGACCTGCCTGGGACCCGGCCCGGGGTTGGCCGGGACCCGGCCGGGGGTTGGCCAGGACTGGCGGGGGTATTTTTCGTTTGGGGACCCCCAGGGGCGGCCCCGCGCGTGCGAATTAGGAATGTTGTTAACCGGTTGCCGGAGATCATGGCACGCCCTGGGCCGGCGAGTTCCTTGTTTTGCCGATCGGCGCGGGCCCTCGCACCCCCCCTCCCCCCCCCTTGAGTGAACCTTGGCTGTTTTTGGCGCCTGTTTCGAGCAGGTGGAGTCCCTCCCCCATAATGGACGCCCTGTTGCAAACAGTCGCGCTAAGCAGAGGTCTGGAGCCAGAGCGCCCCTCCCCCCCACTTCCGCCCAATGTCGAAACGCCGAATAAAAAAACACGTACTGGGTGGACTGGGTGTGGGCCGATGTTGATAAGAGTGGAGACGCCGTTCTGTCCTCGAAGTCATTTCCTGGTTTGTACCTACTCTCCATGCTTTTTCTCCCAGGACACTAGCATGACCCCTCGTGACGGTAGCTGCGAACGTGGCCTCAAGTGTTAATCCCGACGCTCACTACGACGACGATCACTTTGCGAGGAGAAGGAAAAATAAAGAAGTCGACGACGTCGACGTTGTCGACGTCGACGATGAGATGACGATGTAGACGACTACAGCGTCTCACACACTCCGAGGGGTCGGCGGATTTTTTAGCTTTGCGCGCCTCAGCGCACCTGCCCGGTTTGGCAAGTCGCAAGCCCGTTGACTCCAGTTGGCACCGTAGACTTATGATGTTTCAGCCTTTTTTAGCCTTGGACACCAGAAAGAATTTCGAGCACCAGAACAGTACAGAAACTCGAGGGTTTTCACGTGTCGGGCCCAGGGAGACGCTCGTCGGACATTGTTTCGACACTATTTCGACACTCTTTCGACACTTTTCCGGGTGCTCGAAATTGTTTTTCTGGGATGGCGTTTTAAGTACAGTGGGAGCAACATATCCGTAGGCACAAATACGGTCACGCATTGCCGTTGGCTTACAGCCTCACCCGTTGTGGCGGCGCAGCATGCGCCCGTCAAACGGCTGGGTGCGCATCCGCGGCGATACATTTTTGTCTGCTGCGCGCGACTTTAAACATAAGTGACTGTCAGGGGGAAGAAACACACAGACCCAATTAATCCTCGATTCCCTAGAACATATGGGAACATATGGGCAGTGGGGGGAAGACAAAAACCGAGAACATATTGGAAAATATGGGGAACATGTTAATTGTGTGTATGTATGTGTGTGTGTGTGTCCTGGGGCCCCTTCAGTGACCCCCATCGGGACTTGCACCCCGTTTTGGTTATTCAAGTTAGCCGAGTGATACAGGTTCGCGAGAAAGATCTGGCCGCGCGAATTCCCAGGCGTGCTGCGGCAAAAGAGGGGTCCTCCAGGAAGGCCCGAAGAGGCCCAGCTCATTGAGTGTCCTTGGGTTTGTGAGGATGTTGGTATTTGTTTTTGTTCGGTTACCCGATGGCACAAGACGGCCACGACCGCCCAAGAGACCTCCAAGATGGCCCCATAACGGCCCAAGAGTCCCCTAAGATGGCCGGAAGAGGACCCTAAGACGGCCCAAGAGGCATCCAAGACGCCCAAGATGGCTTCCAAGACGGCCATCTCCCCAAGAAGCTGTCAAAGGCCCCGAAGAGGTCCAAGGAGGCCCCCAAGAGGCAGCCAAGAGGCCCCCAGGAAGCTCCAGGGACCCCAAGGGTACCCCAATAGGCTCCCAAGAAGCCTCCTCCTCCTTTCCCATCCTTCTCCTCCTCTTATTCTTTCTCCGCCACGTATTCCCCGAAGGTTTTCCGCGACGGCCGGGGGAACACGTAATTAGTCCGACAGTTTGGCCGAGTTTTGGCCACAACGTTCGGCCAGATTGGCGAGCCCAGAAAGGCAGGGGGCGGCGGTGATTCGCCGTTGGCGTCTTCGATGTACGCCAAGAGGCCACAGCCGTCCATAAACCGGCAGGATGGTTTCACAATGATGTCTAGCCTTCTCGCTTTCTCGTCCCTTAAAGCCCTCCAACGCCTCAAGATGGCCCCGCGTCGCCACCAGAGGGCGTCGTGCTTCCCATCCCTCCTCCCTTCTCCTCCCCTGCTCCGCGTCCTCGCGCTCCTCCTCACCCCCCCCCCTCCTCCTCGTCCTCCTCCCTGCCTCTTCCTTTGCTCCTCGTCCTCCTCGTCCTCCTCGTCCTCCTCCTCGTCCTCCTCCCCTCCCTCGCCCTCCTCGTCCTTTCCTCCTCCGCTTCCTCGCCCGCCTCACCCCCGTTCTCCTCCGTCGCCG